AAGGTTGGATCACCATGTGGCAAGGCATGCTGTAGCTATGTTTTCTAACTCGGGGAGACTTGTGGATATCCTGGGAAGAAGGCATGAAGGTTTGTTGTACTCTTAAAACATTTTATATAGGTACATCAAGCACGAGATTTTGCCCAAATTCAGCTTGAATGTTAGTACCTCTAGTATTTAATTTTTATTTTTAAATTATCTAATGTTTTACATTTAATTTTTTTAAATGAATTCACTTCAGAAAATTAGCAGCAGAAACTCTTAATCATGATAAAAACTATAGATTTTAATAAATATTAGCAATAAAACTGTAATATTTCTGTGTTGAATTAGTTTTGCATTTATATTTTGTATTTAAATATGGAGTTTTCTTATTAATTGCTTACTGTGTGTGCCTAATTTACCTGTCTTAGTATCATAAGAATCTCCTTCATTTCTCTAAATCAAAGTACTCTTATCCTGTTACTGGCATCACCCAACTGTGTACAGAACACAAACTTCTATTTATTTTGACTGCTGGTCCTTAATTGTGTTCTTGCTATTAAATTTTAACACAGTGAAATAATGTGATTTCCAAGCTTTTTGAAATGAAAATAAAAATATTTGCACAATTAAAGCAACAGCTTTATTTATAACAGTCAACTGAAAATGGTAAATTAGTTTTTTTATTTAAAGCTAATGCAGAATATCATGAACAAAGTGCCATTAAAGAATATTATTAAATTCAGATAAAGAAATAAAACTGATGATGTAATATGAAAACATACAAGTTTGCATTAGTAACAAAACTCATACCACAACCAGCTAAGAACTTCACGTTTGAGCATTGTCAGCTCACATCATTCTAACTAGGTCTGTCATAGAGATGTCATCCAGTGGATGTTTTTATGATATTAGTTGTGGAAGGTGGTTTATCATAGCATTTATATATGCACAAATGTTTAAATACTCCTTCATTCAAGAAGAGAATTTGAAGATCTTCAGCCCCAGTTACTAGTCTCAGGTTTTCTTTATCCCACAATAAAATGCATTTTAATGTGAAAACATATTTAATTGACAAAACTCATATTATGTCTAGTTAACAACTACAGTTTCAGGAAACTCAACTATAGAGCAAGCTTATGTGGTTTTATATCACATTTCACCCCACCAAGAGGTGAAAAAGATAATCTGTGTGCTATTTTACCTAGAAATATTCACAGTTTATGCCTGAATGAAAGAATATAAAGGAAAGTGTATATCTTAGCACTATGCCAAGCATGACCTTATCTATAACTATTATAAGTGAGTTGGTACACAGGAAACTACTCAATAGAACATAGGCAGAATTTGATATATATATATATATGTTAGATTTAGAAATTACTGATTTTAGAACAAATGACATCTTGAACTTTGCTGTCTTTTGTAATCATATTGGTACCACTGTTGTGTCAATAGACATGGTTTTTGCATTTGAGTAAACTTAACAATATTTTAATAAAGGTTGGCTTCAGTTATAGTAGTTTACACCAAGTTAAAAAAGTATGAAGTATGTCTGTATATAGTCTTCAAATAATGCTATTTTAGGTGATATTGAAGCATTAAAATAAGTTATTCTCATACTTAAGGTATTTGAAGAGCTTCTCTTGGATGCTGACTGGAGTGTTAATGCTGGATCTTGGATGTGGTTATCCTGCAGTTCTTTTTTCCAGCAGTTCTTCCATCTTTATTGCCCTGTAAGATTTGGCAGGAAGGCAGATCCAAATGGAGATTATATAAGGTTCGTATAATAGATACCTTAAATTACAATCTGCCAGTAGTTAACACAGATTTCTATCCCCCATGTTCACAATAAAAAAATAACATTTTCATGTAATGAGATGGGCTCAGATGAAGTAATCAGTTATACAGCAGTTATGTAGGTCTGTAACTCAACTTACTTAAATTCATTTTCAAAGGATAAGCCTATAGCTGAGCCTAAGGATTATTCATTTTCTTTCCCTGACTGTCAATATATCAAAACTCAGAGTGTAGTATATTAAAATCAAGAAATTCTGAGATGAAAAATGGCATTTTTATTTTTTGAGAATGCTGTGTTGACTTTGATAATCAAACCTCATCATGCTGGGCATGACTAATTAATGCTGTGAAAATGCTTACTTATTTCTGTCATTTATACAATAGTAATTATGTTTAAATTTACCAGAAACTAAATATCAAATTCCTGTAAATGCAAGTGTAGCTTCAAAGAGAGAAATGAATAAATATTAACAGTTTATGGAATTTTCAGACGGTATCTACCAGTTTTGAAGAATTTTCCTACGAAATACATTCATGAACCTTGGATGGCCCCAGAAAAAATACAATTCTCAGCTAAGTGCATAATTGGGAAAGATTATTCTCTTCCAGTTGTTAACCATCAGAATGTCAGCAGGATAAATCTGGAGAGGATGAAGCAAGTGCATCAGCAGCTTAGTCATTATCGTGGAGCAGGTGAGAAAGTAAACTTTTTTTTTTTATGGTTAAACACTCCCAATGATAAATAATTAGCTTTATAATAAATTGCAAAGAATTTTAAAGATAGACAAATTGTAGTTAGAATTATGTCACATATGCTAATTTTGTACATTTGTATGATTTTTTAATGTGATGAATTGAACATATATATATATATGTACTAATTGATCTTATCACTAATGATTAATTAACTATCCACTAGGTCTTTTGGCAAGTATTCCCTTGCAACCTCATCTGCTGACTTCCAGTAGTAACTTTGTGTGTACTGGCAATATCAAGAGTACCAAACGAGCAGCCAAAGAACAACTCAATGAGGTAGTTTTTAATAGTTTATAAATCACTTATCTCATAGACTCTATGTACTTCTTTTCTTAATTGTAATTAGAGTTGTACAACTTGTTGAACTTGATAATCAATTAATTGTTTAGCTAATTAATTGATTACATTCAACTAATTAATTATTCTCACATAAGATGGCTTAAAAAATAAAATAATGGCAATGTTTGAATTAATTGGAATAATCAAAAATAGCAATAATCGGAAACACTAATTTTGATTAGTTGATTACCTTCATTAGTCAGTTAAGCTGAAAAATCTTGAATTAAACAAAAATGATACTGAATAATCAAAAACACCATTTGATTGTTTTCATGACATTAATCATTTTAATCATAATTTTGATTATTTTATGTGACACTAATCAGTGCCCAACAGTAATCAATTAATAAAATTAATCATCCAGCTCTAATGGTAATGTCAATTTCTTACAATATATTAAACTCTAGAAAATTAGTCATTTGTAAGACATAAAACAATATACAAGTAATTTTCACATGCCATTGTTAACTGATTTGTTACAAACATAAGTTGAAGCTAAATAACTATTAAAATGATTTTGCTAATACATAATATTAAATGATAACTTTTAATGGTGAGAGTTTTTCTTCACATTTCTTATATTAATAAGAAAACTGTGTATATTATTTTCTGCAACATACTGTATGAAACATTAAACCTAATTAACACCTTTGTTGAGAGATAGAGGCCAATATTTTACAAAACTAATATAGTTCAAACCATAGGAAGAAGATATATGACAGAAAATATAAGTGTTACAGTAATGTTTGGCAAATAGCAGAGGTGTCACTATAACAGTAATGTAAGTAAATAATGACCATAGGGGAAGAGGGTGGAATCCTCCCCAAAATATTCCTGCATTGGTAATGATACATAACAGTTTCATTAAGTCTATGTGCCAATCCAACTTCAGGCATACTTCTAATTATATGAATTCTACACTAATTCATACCCAAGTATTACAGGCATCACCTTTCAATTTTTAGTCATGCAATATCTAACATGCAGAAAGTACTGATAGGAAATTATATAACATCTGTAAAAATGTGTTAAACCAAAGAACACCTCATTTCAAAAGTTCAGAAAACAGCAAAAATGGGATAGAAAACATGTATCAAATAAAAGTAATGATGGGAGAAATATAAGTGCTATTTCAGTTGTTCACAATTTATCATCAACTGAGTTAACTGTTCAGAACAAGATATTAGAAAAGGGACTCAACTTTTATATTTTCCAAAAAAGAACACCATTGTTGGATATAAAAGCACAACTGGAATATTTTGCCAGAAAAGGTAACAAAAGTTAACAAAAAAGGATAAGAAAAAGAGAAGTGGTTCAAGAGGATAACAGTATGGAATCCTTTTGTTATAGGAACAACTATGCTTACTTTTCATGGGTACCAAAGAATGGGTATTTATCTAATGTTTTTGGTGATTATTCTGAGAAAATAAGAACACTGGTGACTAAATGTAAATGCATTAAGCCTAATATAACAAAAGCTGAACTGAATGTCCTTAACCAATTACAGGAAAAAAATAATCTGGTTACTTTGAAACTGACAAGGGTGATGCTGTTTTCATGATGTCAGAAAAACATGTAGGTTCAAGAAGTCTTAATGCAAGATGATAAAATCCCTATAACCTGAGCACTTTTGAAAAGCCCACTTTCAAAATTGCTCAGGCTATAGGGTTATTATCATCTTGTATCAAGGGTAATACTATTGTAGGGTTGAATTATTGTGACTATTTGAGTAAAATGAGTGAATTATTGAGTGACTAAGAGCATTATAAACTTTTAACTAACTAATTTTTAGGTTTAATTTAAACAGTAAAGCTCAGAACACTTCAGTGTTACATTTCCAGTCCATTTTACATTATCAAGATGTAATTAACCAAAAACATTTTTAACATGCATCAGCCACATGACCAGATTAACATATCCAATCTTACAGCTATTATGATTTATAAGCCTACGAAAATTTTAGCTAATAAACTATACTTAGTAAGTGATTGAGTGTAAGTGTGTGTTATGAAACACTAGTACCCATAACCAATGAAAATATAATGAAAAAGTGCAATAGGTTTCACACAATCTGCCAAAATTAAAATTCTTAAAGGACATGGTATTACAAAATTTATTGGCCCTGTGAGTTATGTTAAACCTTTTGTGGCTGTCTTTGGTAGTTTTCCACTTTTATATTTAGCTATATATATGTTCTACTTAGTATTCTGTAAGTTAATTTTTAAAAGAAAATGTTTTTATAGTAGTTTTGAGTATTTAATATTCTAATTATTTGTTAAATTAATTAAACATTGAAAAAATGCTATAGATGTCATGTAGTTTTTCTAAATTATCAGAGAAAGTAAGAATTTGGAAATTTTGAAAGTTTTAAATTTATGTAACATAGCACCCACCACTACACAAATATATATATATATATATATGTGTGTGTGTGTGTGTATGCATACATGTATCATTGTATTGCTAAAAGTGAAAGCTTGGCCAACATAGCTATTAAACTCTTAAAACATCAGTTTCCATTTTAATATTTTTAAATTGATAATGTGATATTGAAATTAGGTAATTAAGATTTTAAGATAAATTTGATACTTATAATTGTTCTGATTTTTTTAATACAGGAGAGCCGGAAGCAGAGTGTCCTATCCATCACCTGAGAAGTTTTTGAAAGAAAGCACAGAGTCCCGAATTTTGGAAATCGGTTCACATCAGGTGTTGTTCAGCCAATACAAGTTGCTCCGAAGTTTTAATCTTTTTAAGTTGATGCATCTCCTTGGACATCGTTGTATATGGACTTTAGAAAACAAAATAGAAAAGAAATGTTAGTGTGAACATGTTGTTTGCACAAAAGTGCCCAGGAAAATGTTAAAAAAATTTACAAGAATTGTGGGTTATGATGTGTAATGACAACAAACTGTTGATATAGAGAGTGTGAAAATTGTGTGTCTTCAACATAATGTACAATACCAATGGGCTTTAACAGTACAATAAAACCCTTTAAATGGCATGAAACTGAAAGACAATTTTATAACATGGATTTCTTTACAACATATTTGTGTTATACTTAATTACATGAAGGTGATACAACAAAAAATGAAGTACTCATTATTACTTCCCACTTTGATTAATACAATATTATTCTATGTTTGTATTTCAATGGTTGAAAGATCAAAGTACAGATACTTATCAAGACACAGTGATGAGTTACTACTTTCAAGAAGATGAAATCGTTTGTGAATGGTACTACAGGAGAGTTGGACAAGATTTTTCTTTGGAGATGTTTTACTAACTGGTTATTACTATACTAATAATTGGCTAAAATATTTGAAGATATTACTGTTATATAACATACATTGTTAATATAAACATTTGTATGGTAGGGTAATTTATTACAAACAATCATTTCCCTGTAAAGAACAAAACTTATTTATAATACATGTATCTTGTGACTGGTTAATTTTATTTTTATTTTATGCTTCTACCTTACTATTCCCATATGTATCAAGTGTATATTTCTTTCATTGTGCATTTGTGTCAAAAATTAATTGAAAATTCAGTCTGTTATATTGCTTTCCTCTCAATTACAAGGAATTAAACTTCATTCTGATTATATCAAAAAACTTAGTATATTGGTATGGATTGTTTTAATATAACTAGCTATTGTATGGAAATGTAATTATAGTAAATTTGTACAATAGAGTGCCAATACTATGATACACTAGTTGCAGTAGTTATAGTAATATTAGTTAAACAATAATATTGAGTAAAGTTCATTACACTTGTAAGTTTATTAAAAGTTTACATTTCTGTATGATGAGTACTTTGAAACAATTCCATTTTATGAACATTCTAAATAACAACTACAGTTTTTAGAAATTCAGGAATAATTATTTGACAACAAACAGTCTTTCTAAAAAAGATAAACTTAATTGTTTTATCCATAAGCAAAATTTTAATTGTGTTTTATATTGTCTTGCTTAGAAGTTAAGGTTGACTAACGTTATTGGCAAATATTCTTTGAAAATATAATTCAGATTTTTAATATAGCATGATTAGGAGTGAGAAACGGTCCTTAAGACTTTAAAGAACAATTAACAAGACTAGTCCTTCTGAATGACAATAAAGTCAATTCAAATAAAGTAATAAAAAATACTCAGTTTTAGAAATAAATAATATTGTGTTATTAATTCTTACTCTAAAAATATGATTTGTAAATTGTATAAATAGGATTGACATTAATTACAATTCACTTACTTAATCTGGTTCATACTATATTTGTTCATTGAGGCTGATGATAGAAATAGTGCCTAGACCACTGCTATGTCTGTCATATTCTGGCCAGTCTGATAAGCTCAGCTATTGGGCAAAAGGCCTCATTGGCACAAGATAAAGCAAATGTAGTTTGGTTAATAAATTGTGGCATATTCTTCTTTACTTTCACTCATTACTTGAAAATGTATCGGTGCATTATAAGACTGTAAATAGTGTTTGTGAGATGATACTGAGATACAGATATTGTTGGTCATAAGTTAAAAAGGATACAAGTTGTGAAAATAACGTTATTCAATCATTCATGATGTTGATATAAGTTTTGAGATCACAAATGTGCAATGTGTAAATTTAAATATTTGTATTGAAATGAATATTATGTTTTTGAAAACATTACTCTCATTTACTTTGTGTATATATGTGTTATTGTTTCATGTATCAGAGCATTTATTGTCTTGCTTACATTGAACTTGGGTAATAATACAGTTGACATACACCAGGTTTTTAAACATAATGTCTCCTTTGCAGTAAAAAAACTGACATGCTCTATTAAGATGTGGAATTGATGAAACATGTTTAGCTGACTATCATGAAATAACTAAAATCTTTGCGTGTTAGTTCCTTCAATGGTTCAATTATCCTATGTATGTATAAACATATTTATATATATTATGATATCTTGTTATCCAATTACTCAGATGATTGTTAAAAAGTGAAAAGCAGATGTATTTTTTTTAATCAGTAATACAACCAGTTAAATGTTGTGTCTTAGCCTTGTTGATTATCATTATTTAAATTTTATTTGTAAAAAAAAACTGTATCCAAATAATAAAGATTTTAAGCCACATTTAACATCTAATTGCTGTAAAATTTTAAAACGTTTCACATATATAGATTGTAGTAAATATAATTTCTGACAAACCATACATGATCTTCTGCTTGTTCTCTACAGTTGAAAACTTGGCAGTACATTAGGATGTAAGTGTAGTAACTAAGAAAGTATAACATTCTCTCTATACCAGTTGTATTTTGTCTTGGAGATTTATTAAAGACTTTTGTACAAAACCAAGATAAGATATGTAAAACTTGTTATTTCAAGCACCCATTTTGATGTTAATCTGAAACTTTCTTTTCTCTGAATGATTCTCAAAGGAAAAGTGAGACTCCTTCTTATACATTATTTTCATATATTTATATATATATATATATAAATAGGCTTGGATACTCTTGTACATTATACTCTTTGTGTTACTATGTAATAATGTTTTAAATACTATTAGAAAATAATTACCGAACAGTTTGAAATGTAAAAACTAATACTAAAGTAATTTCATGGATCTTGAAATTAAGACTGAAATTTATGGATTGTTATTTTTGTAGTTAAAATGCATTAAGAAAGTTGTGAACTGATTAATTGATTAAGTGGTACATTTTGTGTTTCACCACCATTTTATAAGTTTTTAAATTTTAGAGTGATGTGGACCTTTTAATTTTTATATTGCTTAGGGTAAGGCCTGGCAGTGATATGGAAGTGTTTTGTTTTTCTCATTCTTCACAAAGAAAATTGAATGCTCATTTTAACAATATGCATGTGTTACATTCATTATGTGAAAATAAATGTCAGCAATTTATGTTTCCAGTAAAACAATCTGTTTCTGTTTTTAATGATATGGTCATTGTTTTATGTACTTGTGCTTCTGTCAAAATAAATTTGTACAGTTATGATACATACTTGGAAGTGTTAGTAAATGACAGTCTAGTAATTCATTTACTCACTATCACATGTAAGTAGTATTTCAATGTTACAGCTGTGGCAGAGTATTTGTGTAAGCAAAATGTGTTAACTGACTGGTTACCCTTTCTTTAGTCTGCAAGTCTAAAACTTAGGGTTGGCTATAAGTATAACTAACTCTCTAGTACTAGTAGAGCTATGAAAATACTGACACTAGTTGTATTCTTCCTGGGCTGCAGCTCTACTGCTACTATTGGCAGTACTAATAGGGCTGTAAGTGTAATACTAATAATGTAAGTATAAACTATGATATCAATTATCAGCCCTATTAATATTAGTACAGCTACTATAAGACATAAAAGAAACAGCTGGAAGAACTTAGTCTCTTTGTATTAAAATACAGCACAGTAATTTTGTCAACAAGTTTTGAAAAGAGTGACCTTTGTATCGTTAGTAAAAAGTACAAAACGCAAAACGTAAGAGTGGCACCAGTGATTGTGACCAAAACTTTGGCAGGGCAAGTGGAGCAAGATATTTTATATTCACGTGTAATTTTAAAGACTCGTTATCCCCCCCCCCCGTGTTAAATTACATTGAGACAACGTTTGGTTTCAGAAAGTACTTTGTGTTAAGCTTTGTAACCTCAAAGTACTCCCAGACCTTGGAAAGGATCTAGCATTTTGTGTGTGTGAGGATAACAAGTCTCTTTAAAGTTGATTGATGAATAATGGTCAAAAGTATGAACCTACCAAGACACAATCCGGAACGCGATTATCCTCTTCGACTTTAAACCAACGTTAACCTTGTATTTGGGAACTTAGTAACGAACCTGTCAACAACATAATCAAGAACGATAGAAAGAGCACGTTTTCTGTGCACGCTAATTACTTGTTGGACTCTTCAGACTTTTATTTGCCATATTGGTTCTAAGGTGTTCTTTGGGGTCAGTTTTTAGCTTTCTAAAAACTTCTTTCACAGCGAGCTATGCTAACTGGGCTAAAAGCCATAAATAGGGGTTTGAGATGTTTTGAAATTCCTCGACTGCTCTGAATCATATGTCGCGCCTGAATGCTCATTAATTCTCTTAGTTTGCCTCATTTCCATTTGTATGTCTTGAATATTCGACCAATAATTGGCTGCAATTAAGAGGTTTAATATTCTCAAAATCGAGAAAATTTTCAGATTTATGACCAGTTGTCGACAGGGAGCGGAACAGTTGGAGATTTTCCCCACTAAATCGATTGTTTAGTTCTCCAAGAAAGCTATCAGTGGTTGTAAACAAGATGGCTCGTTTCATATCAGAATAATCTCGTATAGCGCCCCGCTTCCCAAGTGTGGTTAGAATTACAAAATCGTCCATTTCGAGGGGGGTGGAGCTCTGTAACTGACGCCGACGGTAACATTTCTGATAGCAATGTCACAAGAACGTTGAAAATAATGTGCAGCTTTCTCGTCACATCTGGAGGTTTGCAACTCTGCTAGAAAACTCTCAATGAGCTCTGCTGCTTTCAAGTAATCTAACTGGGAACTTTGCAGCATATCTGACTCTCCTTTTGTTTCACGTAAGAGCAGGTAAATAGATTTAAATATCTTGGAAGCTGGATATCATCAGACGGAAAATGTGATCACGTAATAAAAAGGCGGATAGGAATAGCA